ACAATATAAAGAGGTTAATTCTAAGCTGATCTATCCCAATCTGGAGCTTGTAGATCTATCCCAATGGTGATGTTCCATGGAACTTAATCATATGGCTAATGGGCAAGATATCAGCTACAGGTGATAAGAAGACTAGACAAAAATTGTTAAGCCAAGTGAGTCTAGTGAGGATCTACAAGATTAAATCAGAATTCAAGCAAGGACGCCAGTTCCACAGGTGGTAACAACGGTAGTACTGCGTTATGCTAGTGGTACATCTTGAGGATCGATAATAACAAGTAACTGGAATGACTAGGATTAATCACTATAATAATATTCCATACTACACTGCTCTCTGCAATATGGACTTAGTAGGTTAGGTGGGTTTAAACTAGTGGTAGGATTTTCTCCCTGCAAAAAGTCCCACCTGACGTGTGGACACATCTACTTGGTATTTAAATGTTCACATAATTGGATAATAGTGATTAGTGTAGCTAGTCTTATAGCAATATAGGTACTAGACAGTGTTAATCTGCAGATTAACTGTAGAAACATAATGGGTATTCATGTACCAACCGATTCCGGTTAATTTGTAGAGACACTTGGTGTCTGTCTAGATATTAAATGTATCAATAAAGATTACATGCCATGTGCTTATTTCATTATAAAAAAAAAATTATATAATATAAGATTTTAAGTTATAATTTTATAATATAAATTTTTTTATGATTTAATTTATTTTTAAAAAATATAAATAGTTATAAACAAAAACTCTTTCCCACAACTCTCCAATTTGTAAAAAAATTTTTTTTTTGGTAACGACATGAACGGTAGACAGTAAACAGCGAGCAAGAATCTCTTCCAGGGAGAGGAGTCCATCTTAGCTTTCTGCAGGGTGCAAGGGGTCGATTAACTCTCTATAGAGGGGCGAATGCTTTGGAAGCAGCAAAAATCTTTTTGATTAAACTCTTTGCTTTACTGAGTAAAACCTATGTAAGCAATCTCCAATAAGAAAAACCTTTTTATCGTATTCCCACACATCATTATCCATCATATCACAAAACCACATACAAAATCAAATATAATCTTTTCCTCAAGAGGCAGCATTTTATTTTTTCAGAGTTTTTGTTTTCTGTTGATGATAACTAGTGCTAGATTTATCACAATCTTCTGGCTAGTTATCAGTCCTTGCCAAATTTTTCACACAAAAACCGAATCCAGCTTACCCCACCAAAAGATCCATATATATAATACATCAATAATATTTCGTATTACAATATCAACAACAAAAACATTAAAACAACTACACGTATTATCAAAACCATCACAAATTACAAACATAGCTAGATTGGGAGAGTGCGTGATCAGTGCCCTACATGGGTTTCAGCTATATAACCTATTAACTTTTTATACCAATATTTCAATCTATCCAATTATATCCACCATCTCTACCATATTTACGCCACTGTCAACAATTGAGTAGTATACTGGAAGAAATAGTCAGGCCAGTTGTTGAAACAAACTTTATATTTTTCCATATTTACTTTTCTCTATAATTTTATTTTTATTTCTTTACTTTTTTTACAAATCTGAAACCCTTGGTTTTTTTTCCGTTTTTTTAAGTAGATAGTTCCTTCCTTTTTTTTTCTTGTAATAAGTTTTTTAGGAATATATCTACTTTATAGGTGGTAGGCTAGTATGCATAGTAATACATCTCTAGATTTAGAAATTAATTATGTATCGATAAAACTCATATTCAATTAATAAAATCATAAGAAAAGTCTCACTTTAACAATTTAAAAAAAAATATAAATAGTTAAAATATTTACAATATACAATTAAACTATATTATAGATTTTTTGAAACTAAAATAAATAAATAAATTATTTATTATTTGTTTTACTTATTTTGCTTATTTATTTTCAAATATTTTTTGTTTTTATTAAAATTATAAGAATTTTATAAGAATTTTCAAAATATTAAAACTGATATATAATCTTATTTCATATTTTTACATGTGTTTATTTTATTTATAGCATTTTGTTATAGTTCTGTAAGTCTATAGTACAGTGGTTAATACTTTACAGATCAAATTACAAAATATCGATTCAATCTTATATATGAAAGTTAAATAGAATTAATATAATATCTAATATTATAACCTATCAAAAGTACTGTTTCTTATGAGAAACTATTTCATACATTGATTTAGTGAGCATTGAGATTGTAATTTTTAGAAAAGGTGTCATGGTGTAATGATCATCTGATTGGTGTTATAATGATTGTCAGAAATTGTAAGATATATAAGATATCCATTTTTAGTAAGATGGTTTAGTGATTATTTTTCTGTGATACCTGGTATCTCTTTTTGCAAATTTTAGAAAAATCTTATTTCAATTCAGTAATAGATTATTTTGACAGTTACTTATTCTGAAAAGGCAGCCAAAACAGCAGTAAATATCAATAGTTGAAATAATCTATAGGTAGTAAGTCTGTAAAATAAGTTCTTTAAATATTCTTGGATAGCTTTAAAAATGTAAAAATTAAATGGTATACCTATTTGTAGGTGGTTAGGTTTAAAAGAATTTTCTTTGCAGGATTCTATTCACCTAATAGATATAACTTCCAGTTTTTTCTTTTTAAACTTTTTTCTTAATTAATCTCTAATTAGGACTCCAAAAAATATTAAACTAGTATTGAACTGATATTGAAATGGTATTGATCTATAGTAAATTTAATATATGGATTGTAACCTGCTCATATGATTTTATAGTAAATTTAAGTATCAAAGTAGTATTAAAGTAATATTGTTAGGAGCTCTATCTTCAATTAGAAATAAAACTTAACATATAATAATGATACTAATAAAGCTTTAGCACATTAGCTTTGGCACAAATAGATTTCTGAGTCTATAATCAATAGCAACAAGCTGACATGGAGATGAAGTCTAATTTAGTTTAGCAATATTTAAAATAATTCATAGGTATTAACTTTTTGTAATACATGATATAAACATATGTAAATTAAATAAAGAATGCTAGGCATGGCCCAGCTAGTTGAGTTAAAAAAAATGTCATTTTGTTAGAATATATTTAGCTATTTAATTAAAATAAATAAATAATAGGTCAACCTTTTAAAGTTAAGTTTTATATATTAATTAAAAAAAATAGTTCTTTTTTTTTAATAATCAATGCCTTAAATTTTATAATTAATTGGTTAAAAATTAATAAAGAAGTAAAGTTAGGTGTATGTTATAATTTTCTGATTTTAATAAAGTTTAATAAATGAATTCTTGATGTTATTCTGCATTATTATTTTCCGACTAGAATTTACACATTTGACTTTAGGATACTTTACTAATAAACAAACTAATGTGGTGACATTTTATAATTAGGAGGTAATAAGACAAATGTAGTAATAACAAGCGACCCGTGTTCTCATCAATAGGAACATATAAGACATAAAGTATTACACGAGTTTGGTTCATAGTAGTCAAATTTCAGATAATGGTAGCTATTTTTAAGAAAATAGATTCTTTTCTCATTGATTAATCAATATTTTCTTTTGTTTATTTTCCTTTTTAACTCAATACCGTTTTAATCGTGAATAATAATTAAACCAAAGATTAATATAATATTAGGCAAGCTAATAATTTAAAAATGCACAAACCACTTGAAATTCCTATTCTTATCATTTTGAATCTCGATAAATTGTTATTTGTTTTACTTTTCACTTAGACCGAATTTATTTGCAGAAATTTATTGACAATAATAGATTAGAACTTAGTAAATATTCACAAAAATGTCTGATCTGCGATTATGTATATTTTTTACTTTAACTAATAAGTTTACTTGTATTGTACATAATCAAAAAGTTTGCACATACGAAAATATTTACTTTTCGACTGACTCGTTTGATTTATCTTTCTAATTTTAAAGTTGTTGAATCAAGAAGTTGACTTTTAAGACGTTGACTCGTACGAAGAAGTTTATTTTTCTATGTAATTGTTTGATTCACCTCATTTTCAGGATTTTTGGGCTGTGGATGATTTTTAAAATCAAGAACGCCATTGACAATGATAATCGTCACTAAAGTGTAACATGCACTAATAATTCACACTGGTCGGATAATGTTGACTTATATGAATTGGTTTACTTGGAAGATCAAGTATCTGACGCGTCTTATTCATCTTACTTGCATTAATTTGCTTAACAAGTTCTGAATCAGGGAGAAAACCTTTCCATGCATATAAAATTTTACACAAGTCTTCTGCAGATGGTCGTTTTGCTGGATCGACATCCCAACACTTTTTTAATAATTCAGCTATTATAGGGGGTAGACCTTGAGTTTCTGGTCGCAACCCGTTACAGATAGCCATCATAAGTCCAATATCTCCAATATGATATTTGAAGGGACAAACGCCGGAAAATACTTCGTACATAACCATTCCGAACGAATAAATGTCTGCAGCCTTAGTAAATTTCTTTCTAAGAAAAACCTCAGGTGCTACATACGGAAGAACCCCGTATAGTGTATCTTCTATTTTATTAGAATTGGCAGGTTTGCATAACCCCAAATCTGTTATGTAAACCGTATCATTCTCCTTGGAAAAAAGAATATTTCCAGGATGAAGATCCCTATGAACCAATTCGGATTTGTGAATTTGATACAATCCAAGTGCAGTAAAATACAAACGCCTCAACTTATTTTCCCACGATATCTCATGGATCATTCTCGTATGATCTATAAATTGCATAACAATCATAAAATTTGATATCTCATTTTTTGTGATTCCATAGCATCGAGTAATTTGAGAGCGCTCATCGTTTAGTTGGTGAAGGTGTTTTGCCTATAAAGTTAAATTTGTCAATAAAGTAATTTATATTAACTTCCCTAAATGTATTTGTATTAATAATATTTATTTTTATTGTATGATATAAAAACTTTTATTGCATTATAATCGTTACCTCTTCTAAAAGATCCTCAGGGGTATTAAAACATTTTAGTGCAACCTTTATTTTCCCGGATCTCTCCCATCGACCTTCGTTTCTCCAAGACTTAATAACGTATCCTTCCTTCCATTTAGCCGAGTAGATTTTCGCAATACCACCTTCATTAATTTTTTCGATTTTATTGAATTTTTCGTACGGAATCCATTCAAGTACTTTATAGCTATTTGTTGCTTCTAATTGTGCTTTTTGTATGAAGTTATCAATATCATTATTTCCGCTTGTCCATTTACCAAATTCTTTTCTAAAACGATAAGAATTACAAGGACGACACCAATGAGGACTCGTATTTTCTTTTCCGCATTGATAGCATATTCCTAATAAATCCGCTAATTAAAACATTATTATATGATTTCTTAATAAATATTAATTAGGAAATCATACCAGCTATAATAGTTAAAGAATACAATTCGATCAATAAAACACCTTTAATATAAATGTACTTAATCGATATTATGAAAACAAGCTTACAATCTGTAATCGTATTATATAATCCAGATCAATGTGCAGCATTTTGGTATGAATTTACTTAATAAACATTAATGAAAACATGATTACCGTCTGTAATCTCTGTTAAAGTAAAGGAGATAACACAAATTAATTAAATTCCTTTGCTACTTTTACTAAAATTATCAAACATTTACCAATATTCGCTGTTAAATAGAAGAATGGTGTCCAGATCAATAAAAACATATTTGATATGAAGTTTACTTGATAAATAATAATGAAAATATGCTTACGACCTGTATAATTAAAGTAAACAATATAAATAAGCAATAAATTCACCTAATACAGTATATACAGTATTAATAAAAATATGCTTACCCCCTAAAGTAAGGAATATGGCAGATAAATTAGGACAAATTTGATATTAATTTACTTGACAAATATTAATTAACCATGCTTACAGTCTATGATCGTTGCGTTGTTAAAAGAAGGAATAACCGTAACAACAAACAACTTTAGTATAAATTTATTCAACAAATACTAACAAAAAATATGCCTACCAACTATAATCGTTGGAAAAGTAAAGTATAATCCAGTTAAATCAAACACCTTTTGATATGAATTCATGCAACGAATGTTAATGAAAATACGCTTACCGCCTTTATTAAAGTAATGAATGTTATTAATAACACCTTTGATGTAAATTTGTTCAACGAATATTTATTGAAATAGACTTACATCCTAAAAAGTGAAGAATGTAACACAGATAAATACCTTTGATGTAAATTTCTCAACAAATGTAAATGAAATATGCTTACCGCCTTAATAATTATAAAAGATCATAACTCAGATCGATTAAAATACTTATGCAAATTTCTTAAAAATATTAATGAAAATACGCTTACCCACTTAAAGTAAGGAATATAACGCAATTTAATTAAAACTCGATGTTATAAAATTTAACAAATATTAGTGAAAATATACTTACAAGCTGTAATAGTTGTTAAAGTAAGAATAGATAACTTATATTATTTAAACAATATATAAATTTGCACAATTTATCAATGAAAATATCCTTACAACCTGTAATAATCGTTAAAGAATATAACTTGAATTAATTTAATACCGACATGAATTTACTCCACATGAACGAAAATGTACTCACGCACTAAAGAATCATTTTCATTAGCGAATTTTGATTCTTCTTTCAAGATCTCCTTGGAATTGCTTTCGCCATAAATGGGTGTTGGATTTTTATGAATCTCTTTAGAGTATTTTAATTCTTTTGTCAAGATCTCCTTGGAACAGCTTTCGCCATAAATGGGTGCCGAATTTTTATGAATATCTGTACATTGATAAATATTTTGTCCTATGGCCTTCAAATAATCTTTAGAGTTGTCATGTGATGTTTCGGGAAACTTTTCCTTTGTAAAAGTTAGTATATACCATGTAACCACAAATTCGAATATATTGTATGAATTGTCGAATTTTGACCTTCCAGATATATCTAAATATCCACAATTATAAGAATTTTCTAAATCTAAAATTGTTGTTGTAGAACAATTGTCATGTTGGAGCTCGTTTTTTCTATTATCATCAATTTCGGAGTTTTCGATATATATTCCATGTTCGTGGTTGATAATGCCTAAATTAAGCATATTTTTTTCATAATCTCTAATGGTCAAGCCTAATTTAGGTTCGTCGTTGGATGGCGGGTATTCGAAAGTATAGACAAGGTAAGACTCATGCGGTAGGTGGTCTTTAACTTTCAACGATAAGTCCATGGTCTCAAATTCATGAATTCCCGTAGAAATTAGTTTTCTGCCCATGTCTAATATAAAAATGTTTCGTGTGTACGGACTATAATAGCCAACTTCGAATGGAACTCCGATTACTATCCAATCCACTTGCATATTTGATAATGACATAATACTAATTCCATAAATAAACCAATTATTAGCATCAACCAAAGAATTCGAATTTATGTGTATTTTATTTTACTCACTTGAAATCTAAGGTTTCAATCAATGCTAAAAAGCCGTGAGCATTCAATGATTTGAATTTCACAAAAACGGATTGAATTTTTGATACAACTTTTGAATCACACAAATTAAGCTTCCCCAAAACCCGATAATTTTTGTTATCCAGTTTTTTGGAAAAATTTACGCGATAATATCTATTACCATCTTTAAGAGTAATGGTTCCTGCTGCTAAAACTCTTTCCTTAATTTTTGGAATAATTGGTTGGTTTAAAGTATCATAAGCAAGTATTGATGTATCATTTCCGATTCCGATAATATATCTAACGTGAGAGCGAAGGGATTCATCTAAAATTTCGTATAATGGAAGTAGATCTTTATAGCCAATTACTTTTAGTGGTTTTTTTTTTGAGCTGCAAGAACTTAACCACCCCCGGAGTTCTTTTTTTGCTATTATTTCTCCTGATGTTGATATAAAGTAGTTATGATCAAATTCAAGTGGTTTTATTGTATTTCTCCATTCGTGCAAGAGATCCTTGTAGTTATATGTTTTGATATCAATCCTGCCTAACTTCGAGGATTGTTGGGTATTGTACTTCCTGTCTCTCGAATGTGATAATGTACGTGAAATCGTATATAATTTATGACCTATCACAACTCTTTGTGGGACAAAATGACCATACTTTGTAAATATAATCTGCAATTCTTTAAATGGATATGGGGTTTTTAATGAATTGGTTACTTCCATTTTGAATTTTTCAGATGCTTTCAAGGATTCCTTTTCAATGTAGGCTTCAAACCTTTTATACTGAAAATCAAAGTACATGGCATCAATCGATGACCCGTCTGATAATGAATTGATTTCGGAATTAGCACCTTTCCCAAGGAACGTGATCCATTCGATTGGCAACTTTTGAATATTTGATAACTTTATATGATTCTCCAAAAGGTAAAGGTCTTTTCCTTTTTTGCATTTTATCAGGCTCGCCGAGAATTCTTCAGAGCGATTTAACGATAATCGCCACTTAAGGTCGCAAGAACGTAAAGGTGCCTGATGATTTCTAGGAAAATTAATCACTATTCCATTGTTCAATGAAAGGTATTCTGTCAATTTTAAAATATCCGGATATTCTTCATTATCTTCGGATGAGTTAACATCTGTTAACAATAAATCTTGTTGTTATTTATCAAGTGCCATGTTAAAAACAATCTTATTCAAAAATAATGCTTACCGTTATCAAAAGAGTTTGTAGATTCATCTTCCTCTTCAGATACAATTCCTCGACCTATTGATTTTATATTTTTAGGTACGATTAGTAAAAAAAAAAAAAAAAACGAAATTATGCTAAAGTAGTTAACTATATTTCTTAATATGCCACCTGTGAAATATACTTGCGGTCGAGTGTAAGCATAAACAACAAAAGTAATGATCAGAACGATCAATACTATCATATACTGATTAATGGTAGACATAATAGCGGAAATAAAATATACAAAATCATATGATAGATCCATGATGTACGTCGAAAATTTTTATTTGATTTTATATACCGGATTTGCAAACCAAAGCCCGATTTAGGGTACACGTGTGACTTGCAGCATCAGTCGATTTTAAATACAGTACTGTAGTGTGTATAACAACAGGTTGCAACCATTGATTTCTTCAAAAACTAAAATTATGGATACATCTAATCTATTAATTATAATAACGATAACCACTGTCGTTATTGTAACTTTTATGTCTCAAAAAATCTATTTGAACCAAAATATTGAAGTTAAAGTTGAGCTTGACAACCAACAGCCAACAATTAAATGGTTTAAACGTAGTGAAAAACTGAAATGTATTCGAATTGAAGTAGCCGTCGCATATGGAATAAATCAAGATTTTTTAAAATTCAAGATAAAGAAAATGAAGAAAGAATCAATCATAGATCACGATTGTGAAGCTAATTACAAGCTAAAGGATATACTCCACGAAGACAACGTCATTTATCTTTCTACCATTTTACCAGAAAAATCAATTACCGTACGTATAGATGGTAATGTAGTAGATAACATAAGCTTAAATCCAAATGTTCCGGTGAACGAGATTCGTAGAAGAATAATTTTAAGAAATTTAGTGTCCTTTCCAAATTTTATCTTTAGAAAGAAAGGAATCAATAGTCCTGAAATCTTGGAGCACGAGGAGGAAAGTGTTCTTCTGAGAAACATTCTTGATAACGATAATAATCTATATATTTCTCTTTTAAGATCTCGGTCTCAGGAGATAGCCAGTGAAATAAGAGTATGCGTCTTTAACAACGATGAGAATGGACTTATGTGTTTCTTGGACGAGAACGCAACACTTTCTCAGATAAGATCATTATTCGAAAAGAAAACAGAGGGTAGCCCACTTTACATGGGTTCAAACTATTATTTCGTAATCAATGGTAATGTTAAAATTGACAAAAGCGTAGAATCGAGAGAAATATTGAAAGAAAATATAAGTCAAAAAAAGGACATATATGTCCTAAATATCATGAAAACAGATGAAATTGATTGGATACGATTATCTAGAATGTGTGAGAATGGATTTAAGATCACGAAAGATGATACCGTAACGAAGAGAAAATGGAAGGCTGTTGAAAAGGCACCCGAACAAGCATTTAAAATTAAGATAGAAACCGAAGATATAATGCCCATTTCAGATGACGAACTATATAGGGGTGACTTTTGCTGTGATGATGAATTGGATGATCTATGTAAACGAAATCTCATCACATATAGTAGCGCTTCAGCTGTATTGCCTTGGCTGCCTTTGTTCTTGGGAATTTCTTATGAAAAATCGAATCATGTGACTAATTTGTATAAGAAAAGGACGGAATATTCCATTCTTAAAATAGAAAAGAAGAAAATCAAGATATCAAATATAGAATTATCGCAAAGATTTATAGATGAAGTCAAAATAGCGTTGGGAGAAAATACGAGAAAACGGAAGTTGGAAAAACTATGCGAAGTTTCTAAAAATTATGGACATTTTTACGCCGAACATATTATTTTTGGAGGAGCAGTAGTAACAAGAAAAACAAACAGAGAAATATCTAGTAAGTTCATTTAGTATAATAATGCGACTATGATACATTTTAATTTACATTCTATTTAGAAAACAAATTCCGGAGTCAGAAATTTGGCGCAAAAATATTGGCTGGCGCTTTTGCAAACCTATTTGCTACAGCTAGTAAAGAAATATCATCCACAGAAATGAATTCCGAAGCTACGTCTTATTTTCAAATTTTTGGTGGTGATAAAGCGACATTTAGTTCAACTAATTATACTCCGTGGATTGATTCCCTCAAAGATCAAAATAAGTGGGGAATTGTCGGTTTTGACAATATTCATTCGATATTTGACTTGTTAGAGGAAAATTTAAAGAGAGGAGTATTAGAAATTTTTGGTCAAATAATTCGAGACGGTAAATGTAAATTAAAATCGAAAATTTTAAACGTTATAATGCATCTATCTTTTTACTTACACTATAATATTTTTTTTCAGTAAACATTTGTAATTTTACTTTTGAATTAAATTTAAACAAAAACACACCTGTAGTATTCAACCTGCATGAAAAATTGGATTTTGACGCAAATATAAACCAGTACAAAATCTATATCTCAATAATGAGTAAAGAAGAGGACATATTTTCTTCACGCGTTCACTATGATGAAGAAAATTCACCAGTAATTTTAATTCATAGGATTAATTATTCTAGAAACGATAAGAAAAGTTCTCAAAAAATCCAGAAACCTGAGAAAAAGCGGTTTAACATTCAGATTGGATGGATCATTGTTGGTTATCCTGAAAAATTTGAATTCGAGAATATCAACAAAAACATAACATTTAAAAGTTACGACTTTTTTAAGTCGCCAAATTACCAACATTTATATAATATAGAGCCGTTTTTTTGTACACAAGATTTTCAGAGAACTTGTGCGTTGGCTACGTGCGTGTCAAAATCGCCAAAAATTAACTCCGAAGATATTACGTCATCTCCTAATACACAAGTAACAACATGCACTTCATCTTACATATCTTCCGAAAATACTGTTATAACCGGTTTACATTTCTCTATCAATGGAAACTCGGCATGTTTGTTCGCATATGACATTGAAAATGGCAAACGATGTGAAGATTCGGATTTCATTAATAGTTTGAATCTGTTTTCGAGGTCTGTATACTATTTTATTGTTCTATTTAAAAATAGGTACTGTATTCTGATCACTTACAGTAATATATATTTTAAACAATAAAGCTGCATTGACGAAGAAAATCGATGCTGTACTGGCATATTTGGTCAGACAGATATTAATTGGAACGTTTTTAAAAGTGCAAACCATAGGCCTTCTCTTTTTAAATATACGAATAGAGATCAATTACTGAAAATAATCAAGAAAAACGCCATCAGATCTGATATAGATAATAATATGCAAAAAATTTTCAAAGCTCCGATGTTTATTACTCTTCACTTTGATAAATGTCCTGATCAGTGTCATCATGCAATTGTTAACATTGGCTCTGATTCCATATTATATAAATCTTTAGAAGACACTGTTCTTAAGAAGGAACATGGGAGGGTATCTTATTTTTTGTGCTCATCAGAAGAATCTTCTCTCGAGCTGTGAAAATGCGATATCGCCAATGTGGCTTATTACATGAAGACAAAAGTACCTTTATAGAAGCTTCGATTTTGTTTAAAATTAAATCTCACTTATATTCATGTTTTTACAAATAAATTATTGGTAAATAAAACAAATAAGCAGAATAATCAAAATAAGACAAATTATCAAATAGTGAAAATAATTAATAAAAAATGATGAATTATCGAAATAAGATAAATAAAATAACGAAATAATGTTGATTTTGCTTAACAGCAAAAATAAATGTTAATACTGTATAAAATTGTTATATTAATAGACTATATTATTTAGAAATAATAATTATATTACTCTAACTTCAGGATTAATGATTTTTTATGATTTTTTGTTTTCATTTTACAAATTTAAAAATTTTGATGTAACCCCTAATTTCAATAAATTTCAATAATATATTAATAAAATTCTATTAAGTAAATTGGTTTTTATATTTTGATTTATATATTTAAATTTTTATTTTATTTTATTATTTATTTATTGAATAACAAATCAAAATATACTGTAAATTTAAAACCTTGTTTAAAAACTTTTTAGACAATTTGTATAATATAAATAATAAGTTTTGATTTTTTTGCTGCTATTTTAAATTTTAAATAATACTAAAGCTTAATTAAGCTTAAAACCTTTTTTAAATTTGTTTTGTTGGTAATCTTTTTTTTTTTTTTTTATAAAATTATAATAAAATAATTTTTTGTGTTTTTTTTAAAAAATTTTTATATACTAAAAAAGAATTCTTGTTTTAAAAATAATAAAAATACATATTAAAAAATTAGAAAATCAAAAATATTATTAATTGTTTAATAATTTTTTTAAATAAAAATTAGTATATACTATTAGAAAAAAAATATCAATGATAATAACTTAAAATAGATATTATATTCAATATTTCTTTTAATATTGTATAATTGATGTTAAGATAAAATTGTTAAAAACTCTAATGATTATAATATATTAATAATATATTAATTGTATTTTAATATTTTATATAATAAAAATTAAAAATATTGTTAAGATAAAATATGTAAATTAGTTAGTAAATTATAATTGTTAACAATATCATATTTAAAAAGATATTTGAATATAATATAATATAAGTAATTATATTTAAAAATTATTTATTAAATATATATATTTATATTTATATTTATATAATAAAAATAAATTTCTAAAATTCAAAAAATTTTAAAATATAAAAATCTTGAAAATTTTATATTTTTCAAATGTCAACTATATCTTAACAAGATATTATTGTTATATTGATATAAAATTATGTTTTTAAATTATATAATATAATTTATTATTTATTTAGCAAATCCATATTTATATTAATAATATAATAATTTTTATTTGACTTTCTTACAATATTTAAAATATTATTAAAAAATATTAATATATAATTTAATTGATTTAAAAGTTTTTTAAATTATAATATAATAATAATAAATTTTTTTTATAAATTAACAAAAATATTGTAAAAAATAAAATTAATTATAAATATAATTGATATTTTTTTATTCTACATATAATTATTTGATATTTGCAAATAGATTTATTTTATAATAAGTTTATTATTTAAAATATTTTTAAAAATAAAGAATAATAACTATATTACAATTATTTTGATTTTATTTATAATTCCATAGAGTTATAAATTTTTCTATAATATTTTTTATTAGAATATTTAATAAATTTTAAACATATTGACTTTTTAATATTTAAACATAATAAAAAATCAAATAATAAATTAAATGAAATTATATATTATTATAATGTTAATTGGTAAATCTGTTATTACATTATAATTGTCAATTATGTCTATATTTTAATATAAGGCAAATAAATGTATACTGTATTAGATAATTTTATATTGGCTTATTTACATATCCTATATATATATTTTCTAAAATCCTTTTTGTTTTCAAGCTTAATTTCTCATATCCCTAATATTCAAAAAATACCAAGTATACCTCCACTTTTCTATAGATCCAATTAGGACATAGCTGTTACCAGTACCACACCATTGTTTCTTACCTTTTTACAATATATAACTCCAGAATAATTATAGGTCAATAAAAAATATATTGGCCTTAGCCTAAAAAAAATCCTTTTTCAAAACAAGTTTTCTTAATGTCGTGTACTTTAAATCTAATTTTCGAGTATTTTTTATATTATTATAATAATCAATCGTAAACTTATGATGAATAGAAAATATATATAACTCTAATAAACATGTTTGCACTAAATTTTAATGGGAAAAAATGCTTCTTTAAGATCTATGTTTGGTCATTTGTCCGTCCTGAATGGTGTCCCTTATCTATAAGTAATTGGCGAGATGAAAAAAGAAAAGAAAAAATCTCAGCAAAATTTAGAATAAATTATACAAAAACAGACTCAGGTGCATTTTCGCTCGAATATGTTGCTTCTTCAAATGGAACGCCACAGGTAAATACCCATTTGTCTGCTTATTTGACGTTAAGTCTAGTAGGCGCGATAATTTGGTCGAGAGGCACGAGGTCACGTGATTACTATCGCGAAACAAGTGAGGGAAGGGAAAACGAGCATTCTGGACAAGGGTAAGTATTGTATAAACTTTTTTTAGGCTTTCAGACAAATGCCTTTTTGTTACATAAGACTGATATCTTATATACTGTATATTCTACTTAACATCCGCAAATCCAACGCATTGTCTCAATGTCCTATATACTGATGAGGCTTTTTTCCCCGTAGCAGCATAACATATTTATAAATAAACTATAGCGTATTTTAACGCCTTGACAAAGTAAAACATGTTTCTAGAACGCATTACAGAATTCTACTGTAGTTAAGGTGAGGACTAATATTTTCGGATGCTATTATACATACAGTAAGTTGAGTCTTCCGTATAAAAAAAACAATGTATGAAAAAGGCGCGAATAAAAAGACAGAAAAAATATGATATCTAAGCAGATCTGAAAATTTTTTCTCTAAATTAACATGGTACGTATTCTTAATCAATGATATAAATACGTTCTTCTTCTTTGACTTGAACCTGTTCTTGTTCTTGTTCTTGTTTCTGTTTTTGATATTCGTTATACTCATTTCTTAGTTGTTCCATGATCCTATTCACTTTGCTATCTAGTTCATCTATTTCATCATCTATTCTTTTTCGCTTTCTCATTAATTCTTTTTTCTCTTCGTCTACTTTCTTTCGTTGAGTTACCAATCCCTCTCTCTTTTTTGACAAAGTTGGTATGTCTTCTTCCGGGTTAACTTCGCTATTCTTATTAGTCATAGCAGAAATTGTGGTCGAAGCTAGAGAAAGATTATGTGTGTTTATACTGAAAAAGGAAGATGTCAAATCAGGAATCTCTTGAATGGAGGGAGAAAGAGGAGGTAAGACATGTAAGGAATCAGAATATAAAGGCAATGCGCTAAAAGAAGAGGCGGAGTTGAAAGTAGATCCAGAAGTAGACAAAGAAATGTTAGGAGAGTTAGAGACAAAACAAACAGAGGGAACAGAAGTAGAAGTGGAAACTTCAGGGGTAAAAGAAGCCGAAATATGTGTATTATTATCATCGTGTGGAAAATACCCTATAATCGAGGAATTAGCCATTTGCTACAAATACGTATTCTAGCAGAAAATAAAATAAATCATATTACCCTTTGAGGGATTGCATAGAGAGGGAAGGGAATAACGGATATGTTGGATTTTTAAGTTAGGTAATTCAGATTTGATAATTTTAATTAATTCCTCAGTGATTTCTTGTTCGCTGTAGTCATTTATATCATCAAGTTTCATAATATGTATATCGAAAGGCTCGTTTCTATTTGTGACCTTTTTCTTTTTTTCGGATAGGTAGTGATAATGTGCCTGTAATTTTTTACAAGTTCTATTATTTGTTTTAACTTCATTCCAAATTCTTCCGACGATTCCGGAAATTTCAGTGGCTTTCATATTTCTGTCATTCTTGTTAATTATATACTGAACATCCGTTCTAAAAAGAAAAAACCCGTTTTCAGGTCTCTTATCCACATCCTCGATATTAGACATGTGTTTTATTCTAACACTATTACAGTACACTGTAAGCAAACAAATCAGTCGCAATAAATTGGACAGTAAATTTTCGCCCTTTATATCTAAAATGCAATAAATTTGACTTTTGCGCACATGTAATCCAACAAGAACGCCACCCAAATTTTCCTTAGCAGGAAACAAAAGATTTCTAAATTGAGAAAATCATATTTGTAGATTCTTCAGTTAATGTTTTCATATTCAGGATGTGTACTGTATGTGTATTAAATTAAAACTATCAGTTTATTCAAGTATATAACAACAAAACAAATCCTTTATATCATAAACATGTAACCAGTTCCAATAAAGCAAATGTATTGCCAAATCTCTTGAAGTAAATATTTTTTTATGTCACCCAAGCTATATTAAATATTCACATAGTTAGCTTTTTTCTTACCATTTTCAGGATACATAATAAAAGCAAATAAAAATGATAAAGGTGGATGTTTCTTATATTTGGTTTTTTTCCTGCTGTTATATTTTTTCCAAAATATTAACTTCAGGCCTTATAAATATGTTGTTATTTATTAAAAGATATCAAATTTCAAAATTTATACAAATATATTTATGATATCAAATCATTAATTAATTTTATAAAATAATTCAAAGATTTAAATTTACAGCAACAAAATAAAAAAAATTATTATAAATTTTAGTACAACAAAAAATTTCAAATCTATTACATATTTATTATATAAAAAATAAAATTTAATTTAACAAGTTCAAATTAAAAATTTTAATAACAATTTATTTTGTTTGTTATTTTGTAAAATCAAAAAAACTATAATATAAAAAATAAAATTTATTTGCCTGTACTTATAAAAACTAATAAAACCAATAAAATAACCATATACTGTATATATATTTGTAATCTAAAATATATTATTAATAATTGAATTTTAATTGAATTATTATATAAATATTTTTGATTATAGATTTATATAAATTTTTATTATACACTTTATATTATAAATATGCAATAATCAATTTTTATTATATAGTATAGATAAGAAAACAATTTAACTATATAAATAATATTATAATTTAATTATATTATAATTGAATTTATTAAAATACAGTGTGACACAAAAATAATTATATGGATATTTTTTATTATAATTTAATAAATAATAATTTAATTGAGATAAAACTTTATATTTATATTTTTTATAACTTAATTAATAAATTTATTTAAAAATATTGATTTGTATTCAAAAATTTTTTTTCAAAAAATGTATTATAAATTTTATATATAAATTTATATATAAAATATAAACAGAAATTAAAATTTTACTATAGAAAGATTTTTTAAAAAATTAAATTTAAAAACAAATAAAAAACTTTTAAGCTTATAAAAAAATTATAAAAAAATTATTATTATATTTAATAAATGTTATTAAAATTGATTTATTTTTTTATTATATAAAATTATTTTTAAAAAATATTAAAACTTTATGTTTAATATAAAATTTATGTTTTTTAGTAAAATTTGACTAAATTTTAAGTTAAGTTAATTATTAAATAATTTTTTATACTTAATAAAAAAATAATAATAACTGTATTATTATTATTATAATTTTTATTTAACAAATATATACATTAAAATAATTCTAATAATTTTTATTATTTCTATTTTATAATGTAACTAAAATCAATTATTATTTTTTAAAAAATTTTAATAATATATTTTAAAAACTTTATTAAGTAAACTTGTTTTTATATTCTTAAATATATTGATATAGATTTTTATCTTATTTTATCAATTAGTTATTAAAATATTATAAAAAACAAATATATATATATAGTGCAATTATTTTTGTACTACACTGTATAAAAAAATATTAAAATATTAAAAAAACCAAAAATATAAAAAATATAAAAAATAAAGTTTGAAATAAAAAAATTTTTTAAAATATAATAAATTATATATAGTAGAACAATAAAAAAAATTATATTATAAAAAAAAAACTCTTTCCCACAACATTTCTATCTGTAGAAAATTGCCTTTTTAGAAAGCTTCTTTCTTCCAAGGAACTTTGTCTAGCGGAATATGTCTTTTTGGGAGGGGACATAGACCGGAGGACTGATTTAGAGCAGTGGGGATTTCAAGGATAAGATTGACTCCTGGAGTTTCCAGCAATAGAATCCATTCTAAGAGATCTAGTAACTGATAATGTCATTGAGCAATAAATTGGAACAGAGAAGACAAATAAAAAGAAAATTTTCTATATGAAAGCCATCTCTAAACATAACTGCTATAAAACAATCATATTCCTCATCTTTAACTCAAAAACAATCCTATTCTCAAGAGGCAGCATTTTATTTTTTGAGAGTTTTTTTTGTTTTCTGCTAATGATAACTAGTGCTAAATTTCACATAATCTTCTGGCTAGTTACCAGTCCTCGTTCACAAATTTCAATACAAAAACTGCAACTAGTTTACCTTATTAAATGATTTATAACACATAAAACACCAATCACAATTTATATCACTTCTATACATCAAAACAACACAACAACTTATTGGATTGGGAGAGCGTGTGATCAGTGCCCTGCATGGGTTTTGGTAATCACAATATACAATACTCCATCAAAACAACATAATAGACATCTGGAACACATTTCAGTTATCCTATTATTTACATCACAACATACCAAAACCCACAAAGCAACAACACAACAAAATATCACATGACCAAATCCATCAAGTTACATGTGACTTGCACAGTGCCATTATCTGACTAAAACATCTAATTGTATTTAGGAACCATATTTAACAAAAGTTTCAATTTTTTTTTTCTTTTTCTTGTTATTCAAATGTTTTACAATGCCGGCGATTTTGCCCCAAATGTTTTTTTTATTTTTTATTTTTCACAACAAATAGTTCCTCAGGTTTTTCCTGCTTAAGGGTTTTTCAAATGATATATTTGTTTAATGGGTGGTAGGTTAATATCTATAATGATATAATTCATATCTTAATATTAATTATATAACAAGTTAAACTTTTACTCTATTAATAAATATCATGAGTAATACCTCACTCTAACATTAAAAAAAATAAAAAAATTATATTATAAAGTATATAATATTATAATTTAATTAAAAAATATATATATATATATTTTTAAAGTTAAATGGCATTAGATACAAATTCTTTATTGATATGAATGTATTTATTACATCAAGCATTCTTTGTAATATATAACTACAACTAAATGCTAGCTTATCAACTTTTTATTCATCTGGTACCCGGAAGCCTATCACTTTATAACCTTTCCTTGTGATACCAGGAGCTATAGGGGGTAGAAATCCTACTACTAGTTTTAAACTATCTAACCTATAGGGCTTATATGCTTGTGAGGGGCTTATACTGTTAATTATCTTATATAAATTACCTTTCACATTACACTTCTCTCAATCCATCATACGAGCAAAGGGAAACCTTTGATGCAAGCACATACTCCCTAGTGAATACTCTGGTTTTGACTGCTGGTTGGACACTACCAAATCTAGGAGCCATTTTGGCCAAGTTGGGCGTGACTTCTTAAGGATCTACGTAAATATGGATTTGTAAGACACCATCTATGGATCGATTTTTAAATTCCTAGTAGACACTCCAGATTTGGACCGGTTGGCGTAAGCTGCCAAATCTAGGAGTCATTTTGACCAAGCAGGGTGCAACTCCTATATGCTCTGTCTCGCCGCATGGCTAACCATGTCATCCCATGATGGCACCGGATTGGTGCTCTTTTCAAGGCTTTCTACTTTTGGTAATTAACAGTGGGAGAGACTTAACTGGATTAGTTGAGATGGAGTACAGCCCAGTCTATACTTCCAAATGTATGATTGGTTCTTGGCATCTTGTCTGATGATCATCATGCCACACACCTTTCTTGGAGATCACAATCCTATCGTCCTACTGGATCAGCATGCAAATGACTTCTTATAGGAAACAAGGCTCTTATAGGTTATGGCCCCAGATACTTTTTTTAATGCGGTTCAACCACCTTCACCTGGGGTTGAACTGATATCTTGTAATCTGACTTGTGGAGTGTTAACCACTACACTATAGACCCACAGATTGCTTAATTAAAATATAATTAAGGCTTGAAAGATTTATAAAATTTATAAAATTTTTGTAATTATATTGAATAAAAAAAACCAATAATAAAATATTTTTTTATTAATATTTGACTTATTGTTTAATGACTTTATTTATCTTATGCTATATATTAAATATTTTTTTTAATATTATATAATAAATTATTATAATATAACAATAAACTTATAGAAAAACTCTTTTTACAAAAATTCAATTTATAAAAATTTCATTTTTTAATACAATATGAATAGTAAAAAATAAACAGTTACAAGAATATTTTACTGGATTTGATTATTATAAATAATAAATATTGTCATATATTATTTCTATCTTAGGAGAAAGATAAAGACAGAGAACTAGTAGCAAGGAGGCACTTTAGATGGACAGGGCCAATGTGGTGTACTAAAATTCCTAGAGACATACAAATTAGTACAATTCTGAGGTGTATGAGGTCAGGCGAAAGAAGCAATAGTGATTTGTTTTTCAAAGGTCAAGTTATTTATTCGATAAAATATATGTTCAAGCCTACCAATTTCTAGATGAAATTGAAGCCTTTATATACATGTTTGAGTTATAATATTTTTGTACAGGATAAATATATACTATAGTAAAGATATAAGTTAAGATATAAATACTATTTTCATCAGAATATTCAACTATAGTAGCATTTATATAGATAAATACTTTGGCAAAGATAACATAGAAAGTAAAGATAAAATAAAATAGAAATGTTCTAGAAATAGTAAAGGTACAATAGATACAATAGATGTCAAAGGTGTTGTAAAAGATCTGTAATACAAGACTATTCTAGAATAACTAACATTTCAAGAATCAATACTAATAAAAATCAGTCAAGGAGTAGTGAAGATCTTGGGCAA